TGCCTTGGCTGGACATTCTGACTGGGACAATGGGTCAGTCTGAGGGAGAGGTCACATGGCCTTTTCTAGAGACAAGTCAGAAAGAATGGCAGTTGCAGGGGGTGGGGAGTAGTAGTTGAGGCTGGTGACACTTCCCTTCCTGTAAAAGAAACACAGAGAGAGGCTAATTGGGTCTTAGTCTTTGCATTTTGTATATGCATATGTATGTGCATGCATGTGGGCTGTTCTTTCCGTTTACCATCTTGGAAGTCTTCAAAGAATTAGTGACCAGGACCACTAGTCAAACATACTTTTTGTTGGTTGCTTTCCCCTGGTTGGTATTTTCTTGTATGGAAACGGAGCTACAGAGGAGGGATCACAGAACTGGAGAGAGGGGCAGCAAACATTCTGAGTCTCTGAGAACTAAGGCTAGTCCAGGAGAAGCTGGCCTGGGTCTGTGAAGGAGGTCTCAGATCTCAGCTCTTAAGATTTCCTTCTGAGATTCCAAGACAGTGTTCTCTGCTGCTTCTTTCCACTGGCTGGACTCTGCCTGTAATTCAGGCAGGAGCCACCAGGTGGAGAAATGTATAAATGACATCCTGGACACACACACACACACACACACACACACACACACACACACGTTCATTAATAATAAACATTGCACATTTATGAAACTTAGTTACCATTAATTCTTTCCTAGTCTTTGTTGCCTCATCTTTAAAGTGAAAAGTTTAAGGAAAGTGATTTCTAATGCCTGCTCTGATTTTCTAGGATTCTATAGTATTTCAGTTATAACAAAGCCTCTTTTACTTTTTAAAAATGTATAGGTTTTGGGGTCACAGGCGTGTTCTACATTCCTTCCTTTCCCACAGTTTACTTGAGCTCTCTTTGAACACCACCTACCACTCAAAGTCAGTTTCCTCAACTTCTCTGTATTTTAAAAATGTCTGTATATTTTCACTTACCTGTTTTTCTTCCCCCACACCCCTTAATTTTGGACACAAACTTTGTGTGCTTTCTTGGATTTCCTCAACTGCCTCTATTTTCTCTTGTTATGTATCTGGACAATTCTGCATTTTCCCTCCTTTTCCAGACTTGATCACACCATGGGATTTGGTGTTGTGGTGAATGGGGACTGGATGATGCCATCCAGAAGCCCAGGGGATTTGCTCACTGTTGGGTAAATCTTGACTGTTGGGAAACGAGAGACTGGAGGAAGATGGTCAGATAAATCCCCCTCCTCCTTCCTGTGAATACTTTATGGTATGATTTCGCCTTGCAAATCCTACAGAGAAGCCCCGCATGTCAAGCAAACATGTCTCATGAGTGAGCTGCTGTATGTCTGTGATGGTTAATTTTATGTATCAACTTGACTAGACCATGGGGTGCCCAGGTGTCTGGCTAAACATTATTTCTGGGTGTTTCTGTGGGTGTGTTTCTGGATGAGATATGCATTTGAATCAGCACACTGAATAAAGTAGATTGCCCTCCCACATGTAGAAGTTCCAATTAATTGAGGGCCTGAATAGAACAAAAAGGCAGAGGAAAAGTGAATTTGCCCTCTGGCTAACTGCTTGGGCTGGACCATCAATCTTCTCCCTTTGAACTGGCACTTACAGCATTGGAATTCCTAGTTGTCAGGCCTTTGGACTTGGACTGTAGAACCATATTGCTGGCTTTTCTGGTTCTCCAGCTCGCAGATGGCAGATCTTGGGAATTCTCAGCTTCCATAATCACATGAACCAACTCCTTATAATCAATCTCTATCTCTCAATGTGTCTCTCTTTGTGCCCCTCTCTCTCTCTGTTCTTCTCTCTCTCTCTCCATGTAGAGAGAGAGAGATCTATCTCACATATAGATCTATATGTGAGAGATCTATCTCTGTATGTATGTCTCTATCTCTATCTCTATCTCTATGTTGCATTAATTCTGTTTCTCTGGAGAACCCTAATACAGCATCTTTGCAGCTTGGTGTGAAGTTGCCACTAGGATAGCAATGCATTTCATCACAGGCCTTGCATCCGCACTTGCCTTGCTTCCATTTATTCTTCACTTTCACCATCCTGAGCTGGCATCCTTCCCCCACATAAAATGTCAGCACTTCAATCCTTGCCTCAGGCTCTGCTTTCTATAGGGTCCAGACCAAGACACCTGGCCCAGAATGGCAAAGTGTCCCTCACCTTTTTAGACCAATTATGCCACTTGAGTTCTCCATTTAATCTTTTTCTTCCTCCTCCATATTTTATTAACCATCCTTCCATTGTTTTGAATCTTCAACTTCTCTCTCTATATGTAGATTCTTTCCTCTTAGTCTATAAACATTCTCAAGTATGTCCATGAAAAGAAAACATTCTCTTTATTAAAAGCATTTAATTCCATCTCTTCATGAACACATTTCTTATAGAAGTGCACTTACTGCCTGTATTAGTTTTCTAGGGATGCCGTAACAAAGTCTCACAAATTGGGTTGCTTCAGACAACAGAAATTCATTCTCTTGCAATCTTGGAGACCTGGCTTACAAAATCAAGATGTAGTAGGGCCTTGCTCCCTCTGAAGACTTTAGGGGAGGATACTTCTTTGTCTGTTCCAGCTTTTGGTAACCCAGGAGTTCCTCGACTTGTGACTGCATCACTTCAGCCTCCACCTCCATCTTCTGTCTTCTTTCTGTATGTCTGTGTCTTTACTTGGCATCTTCCTCTCTCTTACAAGGACACAAGTCATACTGGCTTAAGGACCAATCCTAATGACCTCACTACACCTGCAAAGACCTTATTTTCAACTAAGGTTCTATTTCTAGGTACTGGGATGAGAATTTTGACATATTTTTGTTGTGTATGATTTAACCCATAAGACTGCCTTTATGCCCTTACTGCTAACTGATTCCTTGGCTTTGTGTAATCAGTTTTCTTTCCACAGGTTTCTCCGTGTATGGTTCCTGTGAAGGTCATCAGTGCCAAACTCAATGGGTTTTACTCATTCCCCATCTTTGTGACTGTCCTGCAGTGTTTGTCATGACTGACTTTTCCCTCCTTCCTGAAGATCTCTACTAACCTGACATCCCAGTTACTGTGCACACCTGTGGTTCTTCCTGTCTTTCAGATCGCTCCACGTGTGCCCTCTTCTCTGACTTTTTCTTCATTCCCCATCTCCAATTCAGGGTTCATTTTTAATGCTGGGGCCTTGGTCACATTCTCTTCTTTCAACACTCTATTCTCTGGCCTCCTCCCGACCTTCATGCATCAGTGCTCTCTTCTAAGTAGGGAACAGATATATCTCTCTGGCTTGACTGTCTCCTGAGCTCAGGGCAAGCATTGCCACCGAAGAACCTCAAAAGAAATATATCCCAAGCACAAGACATTCTCTTTACTTCACACACACACACACACATCACCCCCAACCCCATACTACCATCTATCCATTTTCTATTTTGCATGCATCTGTGTCAGTCTTTGTGATACTGCTCAGAGACTTCAAGTACTTGTGATATTTTGAATGTGGATAGACTCCTGAAGGAGTAGGTGGGATTCATCCAGTGAAATGTGGCTTATTGCCATTATTGTGACCTAATCTTTAGGTTCACGCTATTGAGGCCTAGAGAAGTTTGATCTACACTCGATTCTATTGCCTGAGACCCTCAAAGCAGCACCAGAGCAACCACATATATGCAGACAACTTAGGGATATTAGTTTTGTGGACTGCATATTTGAGTACCCCAAAATTTGTATGTTGAAACCCTAATTACCAGTGGGGTGGTATTTAGAGAGGGGGACTTTGGGAGGCTATTGAGTCATGAGGATGGAGCCCTCATGAAGGGGATTAGTGCCCTTATAAGAGAAAACATGAAACTGCTTGCTTCCTCTCATTCTCTCTCTCTCTCTCTCTCTGCCATGTGATGACACAGCAAGAAGATGGCCACCTCCAAGCCAGGAAGAGGGCCCTCACCATGCTCCTGACCATGCTGGTTCCCTTCAGCAGAATGTGAAATAGATGTTTGTTGTTTAAGCCACCCAGTCTATAGTATTTTTGTTACAGCAGCCTGAACTGACTTGGACAATTAAGTAGCTCCAGGCCTAGTTTTAGATCAAATGAGACCTAGGGGCATCCTTGGACATCTTTTCTCTCATAGGTAAATATATGATCTTGACATTAATTCTACATTTTTTTCCCCCAAAGCCTCTGGTAGAGAGCCTCCCAAATAGCCAGCTTCCTGTAAATGTGGCTGAGAGGTGGAATTTGCCTGGCTGCTTCTCTTGGTCAGGAAGCCTGAAAAACTGGCACTAGAGGATCTGTAAATGGGGAGCTGCTGCAGCTTCCTGCAACTCGCCTCCCAGATCCTTCATTCCCTGCCTAGCCAGAGAGCATCCTAAGGGTGATGTTTAGAATTCAGCATTGAGGTAAACTCAGGAATGAGCTGCTCTGAATCCTTCGTTTCATTGATGGAGAGGCAGATGTCTGAGACATTAAGGACCATCCCCACAGTCCCCCAAGGTCTTCTTATATGGCACCTGCCTTTATTTACTTTCTTTTTAGAAAAGATCGTATCATTCTTAGATGCTCGTTCCTAGGGTGGGCAGAGGGGGCACTCTATGTGCCCCCTGCCTGCAGTGTGTTGGTGGGGGATATAGTCCCATCGCACATTTTCATCCTGTGACTTTCACCTACAGCTCTGTGGAAATGCTGCCTGGAAGAAAAGCATATCAGGGTATCTTTGGAGAGGTTGCCATGGGTGGATCCTTGGCGTCTAGAGGTCTCAGCAGAGAGACGAGGGAAAGAAGGAGTGTTTGGGGGTAGTCGTGTATTGGGAAATCCAAAGCCTTTGTGGGGTATCTCATGTGTTCATATGGAACCCAAGAATTCTCAACTATTCTCGAGGACTCTTCTTGGACCTTACAAGGATCCGTGCCTTCCTTGATAGCTGAAAATTGGTGCCAGTCACATTTTCAACAGCTTTTATTGGGTGCCTGTCTCCGGGCCTTGTATTGTCATAGCAGTTTACATACAGCAAGCCAGACCAGGAGTGAAGAATTTATGTCATTTGTTATTTCAATTTATTTGTGAATATGTGTGGGGGTGGGAGACTGGGTGCTAGACATGGGCTGAGGTCCAGGCTAGGCACAGGGAGCTGACAGCTGCAGGACATGCTAATTGATCTGGGAAGGCCTTTGGAATCTAGGAAATTGGCTTTCTGAGCTGAGGCGGGGTTCAGGCAAGGAGGCAACAGGATGCAGGCATCACAAAGGGACCGGGGATCTCCATGTACCCAACACCTAGGTCTCATCACTCGGAGAAACATTCTCAGCTCTTGGTGACCTTGTCCTCCCTCAACACGATACTCACTGCATACAGACTCATTTGACAATTGCCACAAGGGCTTTGGCCTCAGAGGCACTTTAAGGATACAATAGTAGGAAAGGGGATCCAGAGAGTCACCCACACAAAGCCCCACGCATGTTCCTGGCAGAACCAGGATACACTCTCAGGCTTCCTGAGGCCACATGTCCTCCCTGTGGCTGCCTGGTCATTCCCCTTCACCTAGCAGCTATCTTACTCCCAGGTAGAACAGCAGGGCCCAGCGGCCACCTGCACCTCGCCATTTCCTCCAGCTCTGTGCTAGAAATGATGTAATTAGGAAAATCATTTGCTTGTGGACCTACTATGTGTCAGGCACCTACCGAACAGTAGCATTTGATGCTCTCGACGGCCTTACCAGGTCGGCACTGATCTGTTGATGCTGCAGTTGAGGAGCTTTAGCTTAGAGAGGTTGAACAGCATCCTCAAAGTCACCCAGGACATACTGTGCTGCTGGAGGGGCTGGGATGCAGCATAGGAGTGTGACTCCCTGAGCGTGGACCGCACAGGCCACCTCGCAGCCGGCATGGTGAGGTGAGATGAGGTGAGGTGAGCTTGCAGCTCCTTGGTGCCAGCCCTCCCACAACCAGAGCTGGGCTGCAGCAGGCTCTGCCCCAGCTTACCTGGGCAAGCGAGTGAGGACTGCACGGCTGGCGAGTGATACATGGAGAGCGTTGCCGCCTGCCTGACAGGAAGAAGATAAACAGCTCCCCGTTAAATCTCACTTAATGCTGATATTTATAAATTTATTCAGCTTGTGTTTACTGAATCGAGAGAATGCCTAATAACATAGCGTGCTTCATCTCACATGTTCCTACTAATGAGAATGCAAGTATTGCTTAATTTTTTTTTAACATTTCATTTGCTTTCCACTCACTCCACCCTGTTCTGTTGTTGTTGGCTTAGAGTTTAATTTGTTGCTAAAGACTAGAAAGTTTGGGCTTCTCAGGTGTTAGTGAGGAGAGAGCCAAGGTGGGTCTGGGGCGGTGGCTGGACCAAGGCCTCCAAACTGTGCCCTGTCCCACATGCAGTGCTTGGTGACCATGGAGTTGGCATACCCAAAGGATGGGCCATACTGAGGGAAAATGAAAGCTCTGGTATCCTCTGCTGTATTTTGGGGTGACTTCATGCATTGGGTCAGGGTTGCAGTATTTGGGGGCTTTGGGACAAAAAATTTAGAGTAGAGCAGTGTCCTTGGCTTTGGACAGACAGGAGGGTGGACAGAATGACCAAGGAAACATAAGCAACATTTGTGGGGTGTGGTATAGCTGTGTGTGAGGATGTGTGTGTATGTGAGAGGGGTGGAGGGCTCCGTCTCTACCTTTGTTTAATCTGCTTACTGAGTTGTCGTTGTTGTTGTTGTTGTTGTTGTAGAAATGCTTTCCCTGGCTTATCACCCCAAGGTCAACTGTGCTGGCTGCTGCAGGTTCAGTTCTGGGGTACCCGGGGCAGCCTTCACCAGGCAGGAGGAGTGCTTGGAGTGGGGCAGGGAGAGATGGCAAAGAGATCAGCAAAGCTCATGAGGGTACGCATTTGGGAACGCATTTGGCAAAGAAGCGAAGTTGGAGTGAGTTGAGATGGTCTGTGCTGGGTTTCCTTGGGTGGGGTGGGTGGGAGAGGGGAATGAGGGTGCCTGGCCTCAGAGGCCAGGTGGACAATGAGTCGAGTGGGGTTGGGGGGCACCACGTAGAATTATAGAGCAGGGAGGAGGAAGGACGCAGAGAGGCTGTCCAGTGAGGCAGGACCAGGAGGGGGGCACACATGGGATGGGAGAATGGAGGGAGACTAAGTCTGATTCGGGGGAACAAAAACAGAATCTGGGGTGAAGCAGTGGAGGAACTGAGATGGGATACAGGCCTTCCACAGCCTTTCCCTCCCATCCCAACACATCCTCTGTCTTTCCAGCTCCACGTCCTCATACTCTACATCCACCCAGCACTAGATTTTCTATTTTATGTCTCCTTTTTCTTCTCCTCTTCAACTAACCATGTTGAGGGACTGAAGCATTCTTTCTAGTTCTAAAAACATATAACCTTAAACATAAAAGTTGGGTAGAATAATTCATACTTTCCCATCAAATGCCATGGCATACCCAAACTTATAGATAAGGTATAAATGCTTCCTTATAATTCAGCTGATTTTCCACCCACCCACACCTGTGTCCTGTCCTTGCGGGTTGGCTGGAGGAGAGACTGTGACGAGCGAGACCAGAGTTCCCGCCCTGACCCCTCAACCTTGGATGAGCTATGGGCCTCCTGGGGCCTCATGGCCAAAACCTCCGGGCCTTCTAGCCCTGCTCTGGAGGGCAGCACACTGTGGTCTGGGCATCTTCTGCTGGGCTGGCAGAGCAGGAGGCAGACCAGGCTGCTGGAAGTGGCAGCTGTAGGGCAGTGCTCTCTGCCTTTATATGGTTTGAGAGGCAGGACAAAGCTGTTTTCCATGGGACCTGGTATCTCAGGAAAGGGACTCATGCCTTTTGACGTTATCCAAGAAGCTGGGATAGGCCTGGATTGGGCAAGGATGGAGGCCCCAGTCAAACACCAGAGGCGCAGTTTTTCTCAAGGGCAGGGAACAGATAATGTACCAAGTTTCAGTTCTGCCCATTGCTGGGTTTGTGCCCTTGACAGAGTCCTCTCCTGTCTAGGCATCAGATTCCCTGTCCCACTAAAAGCAGATTGACCCTGAATAACTAACGCAACCTCTGCAATTCCATCTATGGCCAAATTTCCACGACCACCTGCCCACACAAGCCTAAACCATGGTGTCTTCACCAACACCGTCCAGATCTGCAGGGGCTGACACAGGCAGCCTCGGGAGGAAGGGCAGCTTTCTTTACTGGGATCAACATATTGAGGTCCCTCTAGTTTGCTTCTCTGAGGGTTGGGGCACAGGCGGATGTCGTGGACAACAGAAGGCTTGAGTAGCAAACACCCATGTAAGGAGTGAGTTGAGAAGCCCCAAACACAACCTCTGCTGCTGCCTCCTGTTTCCCGTCCGCCTCCCACCCCTCCACCAACCCATTCAGTCCTCTCCACGTGCAGCCTGTATCCCCATCCACGCTGATACCTCCAAGGCCTATCAGGATGGTCAGCCATCCCAGCTGCTTCTGTCCCGCGGCAGCAGCAAGAACTTCCTCTGAAAGCGCCTCTGCATGCCTCCCTCTGGGCGCAGCTCTGTTTGGGGCTCCTTCAGGGGAGGGGGACGGGGGTTCATCCCTTTCTTTTGTGCTGCCTCTCCCTCCCACTTCCGCTCCCCTCGCTGCTCCAGTGACCTTTCACCCCTCCCTTGGACGTCCCTCAAAGGCAGCTCCCGTGGTTAATAACTTCGGCTGGCAGCCCCACACAAAGCCAGGGCCGGAAACCATTGTCCCGGGGACAATGGCTGAGCAGCCCAATAATGAGGTGGCCACAGTGTTGTCTGACATCCCACGTTGCCCTGGCAAAGGGGGAGGGGCAGCGGGGCTCGCCATGCCCTCGCCTCCTGGAGTTGAATTATTCCCCTCCACATGGTGGTTCCTCTTTCTGAGGCAGCACCAGGCACCTGTGCCCTCCGGTGGCTGCATTTCCCTGGGACTGCATGCTGAGGGGATGTCACCCAGAGACCCCGACCCCCCTCAACACACAGCATCGTTACTTTGCCTCATTTTTCTGCTCCCATGTCCCAGGGAGCCCTTCAGCACCTCATAGCAGGGCAATTGATGGGTTCTGGCCAATCCATAAGGGAGGGGAGATCTCAGCCTGCCGCCCAGTGGGAAGCATGTGGCACTCTGGAAAGAGCATGTGCTCTGGGGCCAGAGGGCATGGGTTCAAGGTCTCCCTTGTACCTTCCTAGCTGTGTGACTTTGGGGCAGCTCCTTGACTTCTCTGAGTCTCCACTTATTAATCTATAAAAGCAGAGGTGGGATGGGAGCTGAGAGGAGGACTCTCAAAAGCAACCTCAGAGGTGATTATCTGTGACCTCCAAGAAGTCGCCATGCCCTTGCCACTCTGGTGGGTGACTGAAACTCTTTGTGAGAGTGGCCTTGCTTCAGTAGTAACTTCACTCTTTTTGGGTAGGCCCACGCCTTGTATTCCAAACCAGATCATCAATGACTGAGAGACACAGTGTGTTGCCTGCTTTCCTCTCTCTCTCCACCTTTTGCCCTCTGCACAGTGCTGGGCACTCAGACAGATCCCAATGCAGCAGTATGGTAAGGATTGACTGCTAACATCTGCAAGAGGCACCCAGGCAGTTCGCAGCCCTACTGCCCATTGGAATTTCCTGGAGAGGCTTAAAAGATACCCAGAAATTTTGACCTAATTGGTATGGACTGTGGCATCAGGTAAAGAAGCATTTATTTATATCCTTAGAAAATGTGCCAGCTCAGACTTATTCCTGAGCACAGCCCCTTCCTTGGGGGAGAAATACAGTATATTTTAAGATAGTCTTGATATTCTTAAATATACTATTCTTTATTACAGCTTTACTGTAAGTAATGATTTAAATTTAGGGATAGTTTTTTAAAAATTAATTTTATTGAGGCATAGTTTGCACATACTACAATATCCCCATTGAAAGGGTACGGTTCATGAGTTTTGACAAAGGTATACATTTATGTAACCACACCCCAGTGAAGATGTAGAATAATCCACCATCCCAGAAAGTTCTCTTGTGGGCATGGGATTTTCAAAGCTCCCCAGGTGATTCTATGGTGCAGCGGACTCTGAGCACCATGGAGACTCACTCTTAACAATCTCTGCTTTAGAATCTCAGAGAGGTTGTCCAGGACAGCACTTCTCACACTTTAGCATGCATCTCCTTGGATCTGGTTGAATGCCCACTCCATCCCAGAGTGGGGCTTGGGACCCTGCATTCCTAACAAGCCCAAAGCATACTTTCAGGCTCTGGTCCAAGTCTCTCATTTTGGAGGTGAAGGAAACAGAGGCTGAAAGTGTTGATGTGAGTGGCTTGCAAATCCTGATTTTGAAGCTCCTGGACTAATGACAATCACATCCCTTGCCCTTCAATCTCTTTTCTGATGGCCACCCTAACCTGGAATCCTAAACGAGAGGCATGGCCATGATAGCATCTCTCTCCTGTTTCCCTTCTGAGTGTTGTCCACTGCTTCCAGCCTATTCCCATCTGCCTTGTCCTGACTTGAATCACCTTCCTGGGGAAGGGCCCCCTCCTCTCCCTGTTTCTGAACCAGCACCTACCTTTTCTCTATCAACAGCTCCCTTTCCTGGTTCATTCCATTCCTTAATATGTATCAACTCAATTTAATAAGCAAGTGTTTATTTAGCAATAGAACTGGGTCAGACCCTATCATGCCCTTGAGGAGGAAGGCAAACTAGAAGCTGTGATTGACTTAACAGATAAGACAATTAAATAACAGGATATATAAGTGAGGAGAGACCTTAGTGACTCCCCAGCTCAATTCTTCATTTTATAGGTAATGTTTAAGAGAAATGACCCAGTCCTACTTTCAAGGAGTGTGCTATGTGCAAGGAGGTGCACATAGCATAGACCCATGGAAGAGGAGGGATCTGAGAAGGACTTTGAAAAAAGTGTAGAAAAGGCTGTGAGAAAACAAGGCAGGTGTCCTGACTGAGGACAGGAAGGAGGCATTGTGATGGAAATTGGGCCTCATTTTCTTGGAGGATTGGCAAGAGGACCTGTGGATGGGGCGGCCCACACAACTGTTGGAACCTCAGGCAGTTTTCAAGCAGATTGACCTTCCTGCTGGAACACAGCAGATGAGGTGAGGTTCTCCTCTATCCAAGTCTGTCCTTAGCGCCTTATGCAGGGTTTAACCCCCATGAACATAAACAGGGTGTGTGTCTGGGGTGCTTTGGGGATTAGGTCCCATGAGCACAGGGACCTGGAGATGCTTCGTCTAGAGAAGGGAAGGTGTTTGGTCTGGGAAACATGGGAGTCATGTTTAATATTAGATAGGCAGTCACATGGGATATTTAATCAGCACTGTGGAATTTAGAGAGAGGCAGGTTTCACTTCACCGTTGGGAAGTACTAGGTTCTAACACACCTCCCTGCCCTGGAAAACAGATTGAGCTACCACAGATTGAATCCCTTGGGAGGAAGGAATTTCAGTCCCTGAATGTGAACAGCTGAGACTGGATGAGAACAGAGATGTCAGATGCCCAAGCTTCTGTGTCCACTCCCCGAGAGTCCACTAGGGGAAGCCAGTCATCATGGTAGCCTCATGTTCATCTTCATGTCTGAGGTTCAGCCCCAGAGCAATTTCCCTGTGACCGTCTGGCTGGGAGGCATGTTTCATTTGCCTCCCAGAGGAACAGGCACCTCATTGGCCTCCCGGAATAGATCCACATCCAGAAGAATGTAATGGAGACAGGCAAGAACACAGAAGATTGCATAGGTTTAGGAAAGAAGACGGCAACAAGGTTCTGTTGGGTTGCATCTGAGGAATCTTAGGTACCTAAAAAAATAGGTCTGGAATTAAATAAGATGTTAGTGTTGAAGGTATAGAAATGGGAGTTAAAATGATGGCATGAGGCTTATCTAGGGAGCTCATGCAGCTCCAGATGAGTGCGGACTGAATGTCTGGTAGGGTTTTGGGGAGGATGAAGTGTGAGTGGAATTTGACCACGATCAGCCCTTAGAGTCGGCTGGAGCCCTGCCCTGGCCAGCTGTGTGTCCTTGGGTATGCCAAGGTGAAGTTTCCTCTTCTGCATAAGTGAGATTGTCCACAAGATATTTAAGGTTCTTCTAGCTTAGACACTACAGAATTTACATCTTAAGATTTTAGGGATTCATTTCAAATTCCAATCCAGAAGCAGATATCAGGGCTGATCTGGGCCACCTCAGGAGAATAGCAGGGTCAGTGTCCAGAGGGGCTGGTCCTGGTGGGAGGGCCTTGAGGAAAGGAGACAGAAGAGAAGGATAAATGTGATTTGAAGTGGGAAAGAAAAAAATCGGACTGTCCTCAGTCCCTTCAGTCAAGCATTGCAGAAGCTGTGTCTGACTGCCAATTGTCTGACAATCAGACTGAGAATGTCCCCACAGGACCTCACGGGGGTTGCCTGGTCCATGTTCCACAAAGCAGGAACAACTGCTGGTTAATTATGCAGACACAAGGTGACGAGTGCAGCTGTCTCTAGAGTTAACTCTCAAGGAGCTGCAACTTTTACAGTTAGCTCCCAGTCAAATGTGGGGGACAGGCTTTTCATGGTCCTAGGAGAAATAGGTCTACTGGGCTTGTCCAACCCAAACCCGGTCCCCTCTATCGCTCCCAGGGTTGCTTGGCCTTGCCTCCGCCATGCCTGACACTGGCTTTCTTCTGGGAGAAAAGAGCTTGCTCTGTTGCCGGCTGTGTGGAACACAGAGGGAAGTGGCAGTCAGTCTGGGCCCAGCACTTGGGTATCTTGCTGTAGCCATGCGAATCATCTCTCCAGTTCAGACCTGCCCCTGGGATAAAGAGCCCAGACCTCATCATGAATGCTTTCTTAGGAGAGAATGAACAGCTGGAGAATGGATGCTGGGATGCAGCCTTCAAGATGGAGCAGCCAGGATGCCAAGTATCCCTCTCGCCCAGATCCTGAAGGACTTTTTCCTACTGATCCATATTGGCCTCAGGAGATGTCTCAACACAGCACCCCAGTCAGTGGAGGTGCCACATAAGATGAACTCTTAATCATCTCTAAACTAGAGAGTTAAACTCAACACTAGCAAACTACTTTGGGTGTATGTATATGTCGTGTTTCCTCTGGCAACTGCACAGACTCATCTCTAAATATCACGTCTAGAGTTGGCATGAGTGGCATGTATAATACAAAATGTCTGGTGGCCCTGTTGTCACAAAACCTGTATAAAAGTAAATTCACAAATGGTTTTTTAGAACTCATGACAAAACGTTACTCATTATCACTTTTCTACTTAATTTCCTAAAAGGGCAATTTGAAATCACACTGGGATTCTCACAGTTTTGGTTGACACTCAAGTAAATTGCAGCTACTTATCAAGCACTTTTGAATGAATACATGAAGAATGAACAAAATGAAAAGCTCTCCTGTTGCCCTCAGTGTCGCCTGTGTTCTGTATTTCTTCCTGAAACCTTTCCATTGCTTTAAAAACCTTTCTAAAGTGAAAGCAATCTCTTTATAAACTGCAACATACTGGTGATGAGTTTTTGCTGTGCCTGCAAACCAAATCACCCACTCTCTTTTCCTGGGAAGCACATCTTTCTCAGAGCAGAGCTTTGCAAAAA